TGTAACAGCTGACCCTTCCTACCCCGATGGACAGGTGCAGAGGAAGCGTTAAAAAAAATACGGTTTACCCAATTAAATTATTTTTTTGTAACCATTCGCTTTTATTAACATCTGAATCAAATGCTCAGATTATATAACTTCGAGATTATTGCTTTTCTGAATATTATTTTTGCTTCAACTACCTCCATATTTTATATACAATTTTATTGAACATACCCATCTTCTTACTATTTTTTGTTTTATTTTCAATTTACTTTCTTTTCATTCGATTTTTTAAAATATGTAACAAATGACAAATATAAATAATGTTTATTCATACCTACAACTGTCAGTAGTATCAGATAGATTATACCTTAAACATTTATATATGAAAAAGGGCTTAGCAGATGTGTTTGCCTTTTTTATGGTTGAGATACTTTACTATTCCTTTACATGTTTTGAAACATCAACAAAAAAAACTATCCGTTATCACTTAACAATTGCTTTTAACAACCTATTGGTAATTAAGTTTTAATATATTTTGTATGTACTTAAATAACAAAATAAAACAAAAACAAGCCTAACTCGCTCAGATAGTAACTAATTGAAAAATAAATGTAAATATATTCTAAAAATATAATCATAATCTAGAATTAAAAAAAAATAAGAAAAATAAATATGTATTACATTACTCTAACTTGGAGCATTTTTCTATGTGATTCGACATAGAAAAATTATTCTTTAATAATACATTTATTTCGTTGTAAATTCAGTTATCTTATCACATTATTTATAAAAGTTTAATATATATAATATAATGAGACTTTTCAGAAGATTAATCGAATTTATATAAAATCCTAATAATTTTGTGGATGGAAAAGAATTGTATTTTCCGAATTTGATTATAATTAAGTCTGTGTTATATATTGAATTATTATACTATTAATGAACGTTATTTCCGTACATTCTATTTTCTTTATTACCTATTGCAAATAAATTACTCTTACTATTATCTTGACAGGATGTTAATCAAATATGAACTAAACATTTTATTATTATAAATAATTAAATATGTCGACATTTTCAGATGTAAATTCATTAAATAAAAAGAAAGTGTAGCTTCAAGTTTTCCGGCCAACAAAAGTAAAAACGTAGAAAGTACAAATTATTAATACAGTGCTCATGATATAATAACATTGAAATACTTTTTGAATTTATACAATAATTAAGATTTATTAATTAAGTATTTAGTAATTATCAATATATCATAATTTAACATTTCCATCGAAAAATAATTAAACAAAAAGTCTACTGCTACAGTGAGCTATTGGCCCTAATCTTTCTGCCCTAATATATATATAATATTATTAAAAAAAAAACCTTATCAAACACGATCCTACAAAGCAGTGGCAGATCATCATATCGTCCCCTCACAGGACACGAAGGCGTACTTTTATTTGAGGCCCCCTAGATTTGAAATAAAGACAATCATTGAAATAAAGAGTTTTTACTATTTAAGGGCCCTAAATATAGGGTTTCCCGAAAAACTTGTTCCGCGAAACATTGTTTGGGAAACCCTCATTTAAATTATTCAAGTTAAAAAATATATAAAGCACTACAATATCGTTTTAAGTTCATAATTGTAAAGCAAAGTATGAAGTTGAGATGTCTAAAAGTTTCATATAATCTTCTAATTAGTAAATACAGAATGCTGCACGGAATAACGACGCTTTACTATTGTGAAAACTCAATTTAAAATAAATAAAGTTTTGTAATTCGTAAACTTCATAGAATTTGTAGTCAAAATAATGATCCGAATGTGTCCTCAATTCGAAGATTAATTAAAAAAATGAGGGAACTGCTTTGATTCTAGACAATAAGTCATCCATGGGTGCATTCGCTCGAAAATATTGAATAAGAATTAAACTTATCAAAAAGTATGTTACAATATCGGCAATTATATTAAGATCAATCATGTTTTTAATGCAAATATTGATGTTTATTACCAACTAATTAATTCGTGAAATAATAATAGTGTAGTAATAGATAGATTTTATTAATAATATAACAATTGTTTTATATGATTTAAGATAGAAATTGATTTTCAAATAGTATTATATTCATGCATGAACAAATATAACTTCAGAAGAACTTTGAAAGCCATTGAATGTGTAAAAAGTAATACATACTCATACCTTACTTTAGAAGACTTGGAGATTACAACCCATACAAATTCAAGGAACATTTTTAGCACTTGTCACATTACAAATATCAAATTTAACTGACATAAAATTATCTAAAACAAATTAATGTCAAACACATTATATACGAATGTGATTTTATTATTAATTTTTATTTTATTCACAACAAATATGTATAAGAAAAACTAGTGCTAATATAACAAACAATACATCTCTATTTTTATTAAGAAGATAATCTTATAAATTCCTTAAAATCATATTTATTTTAAAAATTAATGACTATCATTAAGGGCACAGTATACAGTAAGACCTAGTTTAGCGCTTTAGTGCGTTCCTGAAGACAATTCCTGTAGCAAGTTCTTTTGGTTCATTGTTCTCAGAATCACGTTCTTTAATTCCTTGTTCTGCCAGTTCTTGAAGGTCGTCGTTGGTAAGGCCTTCGCCAGAAAACAGCAGTAACTCCTTAATATCACGCTCATATACAATTTGAGCATAGATTTTGGGCTACGTTTCGGGAATAATCGTATTATATACGAGTCAAAGAAATGCCTTGATAATTTTAATCCGGCTAAATTCTAAGCTTTTTATTTACCTGGATTTTGATGTGATTCTGATCTAACAAACCACTTTATAGCAAATCAGCGTTAATCGAGGCAGGGTTAAATGAGGTCTTACAGTACATACAAACACCATACCTATGTTCAAGTGTTGTAATATGCAACAATATTTACTTGCAATTCAGCAAATTTAATTGTCGATATTAATTATGATTTCGTAGACATTTCTCTTTCTGTGCAGTTTACGAAAATATGGTACGAAAATATAACTTTAATATATGTTCAATAAATTGTGAAATAAACCAACATACATCTTAAATATTTAATATATATGTGGCATTATAATATATTTAATTCGATAATTTTATATTTGCATAGACAAATAATAAATTTTATTCATTTTCAATTCAGATTAAATTAATACATTTTGTAATATTATAAATATGAATCATTAAATTGGCGTTACGGACAAGCGTTGCAATTAACAGAAACACTTCCAATCCCATCTTTGGTTAAAAATAGCTTGATACTAAAAGAAAACTGAGCCGCATCTTTAGACTGGTATTGAAAATATCAAAGATGAACGCCGGAAATGGGCAACTATAATTTTTCTGTTGTTCCTGCCGCTTATCCATAGAAATAACTGTATATAGTTCGTGTATGTGCAAGAGCAAGATCGTTTCTATTATTATTTAATTCCCTCCAGTCGCTTAATAATGAAATATAATGGTAATAACAGTACGGAATAATAACAGCAAGTGTGTAGCCTTGAATCTGGAATTATGACGAGGCTGCAAGCAATTAGTTAGCGGAGCTCAGATAAAAATTAAATAAAAGAATTTATGTAATAAGCGTAATTAATTATCAGCGACGGAAAGGAAAGATTGAAAATTGTGAAGATAAGACAAGAAAAACACACACTCTCAACAAACAATTGAGTGGTATAAATGAGATTGTGCAAACAATAGTTATGACTGAGTACAGATACTATAAACTTTAAATTTGATAGACGATCATACTTTTTTAAAGAAGTAAAAATATATGTAAATAAAAATATTGTGAAATAACATAAAATAAAACTAACAACAAATTTAATACTCTATTCCTTAGGTTTTATAATATTTGTTAACGTAATATGGAGTAAATGTGGAATTTACAAATACATTATTACGGTTTGTGGAAATTTTAACATGATTGCTGCAGACTATATGGGCCGAGCATTGCGTTTAGGGCGTTTGATCGATATATTTCCAAGTCTGGTGCATGCGGTACAAAGAAATAAGCTATTCGATCTTTGAATTATACATGAATTATAAATGAATTATTTCTAATAAAACCCGTTAAATTCTAAAAAAAAACTTTAATTATTTCCTAAAACAATGCATGTATTAATAGTCAGAATGTACTAAGAAATACTTATTTATGGATTTGGATGATAAAGAATACAATCAGAATTAAGACTGTAAAATAAATTACTAATATATAAAATCATAATGTGGTTTCTGTACTTACTAGAAAATAAAATTGTGATATTCAGCCTTAAATCCAATATACTTCTTTTTATATATAATATGCTGTTTAATTCTTTTAAGACATGTCCCAGGCATCTTTAAAGGTAAATTTATAATTACACTGCTTAAATAATAATAATAATTCTAACGGTATTATCGCAAGTAGTTCAAACGAAAATTCTGAAGTTATATTAAAAGAAAACCTAAACAAGTAAGAACTTTATCCAGCAGTGACGAATTAGATTTTTCAGAAATTATGGAAGGTAATGTCAACGAAAAAGGTATATACCTTAGGAACTGTGAAAACAACGTAATAATTTGCCTCGAAAACTATCACATTACTTATATTCATATGTCAAGAGATTAAGGGCCCATAAATATTTACAAATACATACATTTATTAAAACAAATGAAAATTCTTTTTTATGATTATATTATATAAATAATATTATTTATACAAAAATATATTTTAACTATACTTTTTTCAATTTACCAATTTTACATATTAACAACATACATTAAAAATTTATAACAATACCATGATTGTTTCAATTACTAACAGGAAAAAAGTGACTAAGCAAGTTAAAAACAGTATTTAGCAGATTGTGGACAATACTACAAGTAAATATGATTCACAACTATGGGAATGAAAGGAAAGAATCATTTTTTTAGATTTTATATTGGATTACGTAATATATATCATTGTTTACACATACAATTATTTCAAAATAATTAAGTAAAGTAATTAGTAATTTATTACTAAATTATATATTTATTATATTAAAGATTAAATATATACAATTTTAAATGTTTTGCTTATGTCAACATGGCTAAAAAACATTACTTCTTTCCGACCTTGTTATGCCTGCGAGGGGTCCAACGCAAAGCTCCACTATCGACGCAAAGCCTTGGCCTCTTGTATTGGCTTGATTTGATATGTTCCTCAACTAACTTAGGTGTAACACAAATCACGTGCTGGCCCTTCCAATATTTTACCATGTTCATACTTTGCAAGGTGGAAATTATGTCGGTTTGTGTAATACTTGTCATTTGGCTTAGATCTTTAATACTGAGAGTTCCACCTCTGAAATCTCTTAATATTTCTAGGAGAACCCAACTCCAGTAACTCCTATAACTTAATTTTCCTAAATCGCTCAATGGCTGTTCGGGACTACCGACCGTTTCCTCTCTTCTAGAAAGTTCGTAACTGAATGCAATAAGTAATTTGCCGTAACCTTGTCTTTGGTAGGGTGGCAATGTTAATATACATGCTACATTATTTCCATCTGGCGATTCTTTTTCCTTCCAAAAATAAAAATTATATAGAACTTTGTTGAAATAGTAAATTCAAATAACATACTTTTGAGAAATACCCGACTATATGAGCTCCTTGTTTATCAACTTCACACAAAATATAAAATAGAAACGGCTCGACGTCAAAATATAGCGTTTTATGGTCCAAAAATAACTTCGCTAATAAACACAGATTCTGACAATATATTTTATAATCCTTCCCATCAACTTCGTAAACCGATAAAGTACCCTTCCTATAGATTTCTTTGCCAACTGGTTGCCTGGAGGTGCATTCACTCTAAAACCAAATAACAATATCAAATATAATTCGTCTATAATATAAAATATTATTTACCATGTGATATCTGTAACTTTTCTCCAACCTCATGTATTTCAAGCAATACTCGCAAATCCACAGTTTGCTCTGTCTGCCATACTCCTCCGGATACGGACTGAAGTACCATGTGTCAATCTCGAAACGACCGATTTGAATACGATCAATGTATTTCACTTTGGTAATCTGCTCGTGCTCCTTTTCTAACGCAGCTGTCGTCGGGTCCATTTCCGCGTACCTAATTAAAGTAAAATAAACGATAATTAATTTAATCATTGCACTATGCTGATTAGATTATGCGAAATCAATTATTTAAACTGATATGAGAATTGCAACAATTAATTTACGTTTTCTGTATGTGATTAATTTCGTCGTGTCGTCGTTTCTGATTGCGAGTGATCTTCCTGTCAGTACTGTCCGATAGCAGATCTGTAACAACAGGAGGCCTCTCTTTCCATGTCTTGTCGTTGACTTTGCTGCCATCCATGTTAAATCTTGATGACATGATTCTACCTCTGGGAACCTGGAAAAGGAAATTATAACATACCATTTTATAGTTTATTTTGGAGTTTATTACCCATTCATCCAATCTGCGGTTGTAGCCCTCGTAGTGTACATAGTACTCATATTGTTGGTCTGTGTTGCTATAGCGAGTCTGGATGATTTCGGCAGGATCTAGAAGAAAATAATAACAAAGAAAATTTGAATTAAATTTTGTTAGGTTATATTGGTTACTTACGCCAATTTTCGTCGGATCTTCGAACAAGGTAATGCTCTCCAATGTCCAGAGGTTGTTCTTCGCCGCTCTCAGCATCATCATCATTTTGAGTAACAGGTTTCTCCTCGATTTCAGGCTTTTTTAACTCTACTTCTTCGTTTACCTTTACTTCTTCCGCCATTTTTAAATAACAATATAAACAGTGAAATTAGACTACCAAATATACAACACCTGCAAGTTGCATATATAAGTGATCATCAGTTGGGACTTTAATTGCTCGCTAGGTGCAAGTTGTAGTTGCTATTAAGTGCTATGAAGTGCTCTTCCACGCCAACATTAAAAAAAAGAAAATAACTATACAACACACGCACGCGCAGTGATATATAAATATATATAAAAATATAAATAAATTAAAAATGTTTTTATTTGCGAATGCTCCTATATAATAATTAATAACTTCAAAGATGCTCTACGTCTAGACAATGCTAATAGATTATTCTCGTTTACTGGTGTATGATACAATCTAAAGCAAAAACAATAATTAATAGTAATTTAAATGTATTTAGTAAATAATTAGTTACCTTAGCCAGTGTTGTCCACGTACTTCCTCCTTATAGGTGATCCTAATAGATGAACGTTCATTAAATCAATTGTACTTAGACACACATAAATATATATATAAATAAAGAATAATTGTAGACATGTTACTTGCTTTTTCCTCACAACGGCGAAATGGCGAAAACAGACAAAATATTTGAATATTCATAAAACGTTTTATTATCGAAAAGTAAACATTTGAAACAGTACAATCTTCAACCGATTTCGGACGAAATATATTCTCTCTCAGGCTCTGCTAACATCTCATACCAATCTCATGTCCTAAAAAAGAAATAATTACAATTTTGCCGTATCCTGTGATCCCCTGGTGCTCATTGTCACACTCACACTCATGGTCACACACAGGGTCGACTTAAGGAGGAACCAAACTGAACCAAACTACTTAGTTAATAAATTCGCTATTTAGCTGCTACCACTACAGAAAAAAGGAACAAATCGTCTGCCAACGTTAATGAAAAAAAATATTTCAAATACAAAATATGTGTGTATATCAATAAAAAAACTCACGCACCGGCATCAAAGTTTTATTATCGCAAAGTAGAAAATTGAAAATTTTTAAAATGCTACCGAATTCAGTTGAAACTTCTTCATGAAAATGTGTATACAGCCAATAAATTGTTTCCAACAAAATCACTAACATTTTCTGAAATCTTTCATTCTTTGAAAATAAATATCTACTATAATGTATACTGTATTTTTATCTAACTGTCAAGCAGGGTAAGAAATGTAAGAATTTTTTGAATTACACATCCTGGATTAGGGACATGATACAGGGGCCCACCGTTAACTTTGAGCCTAGATTCGCCCCTGTGCAAGTATAATTGTATCATGATTTAGATAAATGTATCTAAATCATGAAGTTAAAAAAAAACAATAATAAAAGTAAAAGTATTTAATATATGTTATTAACATTACTAAATAGGAAAAATACATCAAAATAAAAAGTACATAATTGTAATATAGTATATTCAGTATAAGGACACAGTAACATTTTTATATTTTAGTATTTAGTGCTTTAATAAGTGCATAACTAATCATGTAGAATCATAGAATATTTTTTAGTTATATGACATATTTAATTTATGCATCAACATTTGGTAAGCGTCCTCTAGTTCTAGGATAAAGAGCAATATGTGAGACTCTCATCTTCTCCATAGTTGTTGGCTTGAAGGACTCCCCAATTGTAATTGTTCCACCATCGGGCATAGTCTTAATGAACTTGTTAGATTCGGGTTTCTCCGGATCTTGTTTCTTCTCAACTTTCGTTAATTTTTTTACTTCGTCCTGCGACTTCTTATGTCTATAATAGAAAACCTCTCCCGCCAATGTTATCATTGCTAATGCAAGGCCGAACAATGTAGCGATAAAAACACCACCTGCAAAGAAAACAACAAGTAATAATCATATATTAACTGCGTAAAATGTAATACCTAAACTCTGTAAAGTAATTCCTTCATTGTCATCAGCATTGTCGCATTCTCCTTTAACAGAATGATTCCAGTATTTTGCTTGTAAAGATTCGAAGAAACGTTCCCTTTGCAAGTCTAACATACTGTAAGTGTAATGTTAATTAATGTTAATTATCAGAGTTTACAGCACTTACACTATGCTTATAGCATCTTGTAAATGACCGCCTTGTTGAATTGCTATTGCATATGGTTTTTCAGCGAAGACCTCCCCGACTTCAGTGAAATTGCAGTTTCTCGAAATTTCATACTTAATTTCAGACGAGTCATGGATGAAAGCGAAATCTGCTTCTAAAAGCTCATCGACTTTATCAAAACCTGCTTTTGCTGTGGGCAAAGGCATTGAATCATTGATAGATATCAATATTTGGCCATACATTTCCCTAATTGGATAATCCCAGACTCGATATCTTGTATCATCTGTGGACGCATTTAAAGTTAATTCCTTCCATAATCTGTAAAGTTTATAATTCTGCAATTAACTTTTTTTTTCATAAATATTAATTACCTATAAAGTGTGTCTTCTGCGAATTTCATATTGATAAAATATTTGTGGGTCTCTGAACTTTCCACAACCGTATAGTTGATACGCGATTGCCTGGCAAGTTGTTCCAAAGATTGCACCGGCGTCTGGAAATTTATTCGTATTATTTGATACATTTACAGTTTGTATTTGAATTAACCTGCATCCTCTCAACCGTAAGAAACGCCGCCAAATTAGCTGTAAATGTGGCTAACATCAAAACCACAAACAACCAATATGATGCTACCAAAGTACGTCCTGATAAAGCTTTTGGAGCCTCTCCTCCTCCTTGAGGTGTGAATGAAGTTAAGGCAAACCAAAAGCTTTCTTTTAGATTGAATTGTCTTAAAACATTTTTTTATAAAAAAAACACAATATTATTTGAATAACACAGTATTTTCACAATATATTTTCAATATATACCTGCAAGGATAAGGATAAGCGGCTTTGTTATTTCTTGAACTATAGGGAGAGTATTTATCCAAAAACCAAACCATGAAACCAGTCACCACCAACGCTCCCACAATGCTCAACCAAACTTCTAATTTCAACACGGTCATAAACTTAAATAGCGATGTTTTTCTCACCGGTTTTCTCATTACTAATAAATTAAACAATTAAACGATATATATATAAATAATATGATAAAGTTATACCAATAGTAATTCCGACTTGTTCAAAGTAAGGAGCAATGAAATCAACGACTTCTTCGCGATCTGCGGTCATTGTTAAAGCCGCTATAGCCATATCAGTTTCCTAAAAAACGACATTGAAATTTTGCTACTTTTTTCTTTTTCAACTATTCTCACTCCTCTGACAATGTCGCCAATAACTCCATTCCAATTACCAAATTCGTCTTTTTCTCCGAACGTTCCTTTCTTCGGGATGACAATTTCGTAATCAAAGTTCATGACTTCTGAAAGTTTTTTAGCAAAGTCCAAGCAATAACCAGTCCAACGTTCGAGTCCGGTTTCGGGATCAATTTCCGGGAAACTCCAGGGCATAGCCTTGAATATATGAAAAATTAGTAACTGAAGAGATAATATTTCAATGTATTACATAAGTGGTTCCAATCCTGTAGAACGGTTTAACTTGCTTTATTTTATCTTCAATCAAGATCTCTAAGGAATCGCCTTCTAAATATTTGGCAACCACAACTGGTATACTATTACTATCTACAATTTCTATAAAGCCTTTTGTCCTCATACCAATAACCGATTGATCGTAATTGATAAATTCCTCATCCATGATCAATTGGTTCAAGGATCTCTCAATTCTTCCCCTTACATCTCTGTCGTATAATGTTTCATTGCAGGAAATGGAAATCTCTAAATCGGTTTTAGACATGCGGTTGAGGACAGTGGAAAGCAACTGAATCGTAACCGTAACTAAATTTTTTACTGCATCATTGAAGCTCTTGCAAGCGCAATTGTGTGTTTTTATCAAGCCGCAGCACATGGACTTATCGAGTGAAATTAGGTTGATGAATGGAATAAATTTATTGACCAATCGATCCCTTTGGAAGTCAGTGATCACCAGATTCCAGCGCTCAGCTAGCTTTAACAGATTTTCCTTTTCTAACTGTAACATAGCAAATGTTTAGATTTTTTTGGAACTTTATCTTTTATGATAATAATACTTGATTATATAGAGTCATCATGTTCTCCGACGAAGCTAAGAGTGCCAAGTTGTTGGGACTAGGTCTCATGTCTCGTAGTCTTTTAGCTGAAATTGGGTCCAGTTGTTCAGTGATAACCATCCGTAGGCGTGTTGTATCGATCCAATAATAAAGAGCTTGGTCAACATCTGAAAATCAGTTTAAAATCAACTAGTCTGTCATTAACACTTAAAATATTTTAGCTAGTTACAAAGAAATAAACTAATAATAAGCAATTATTTTATCTACTATATCTACCTTTAGGATCTTCGAAAACCAATGCGACATCGGTAGAATTTCTAGCATCAAGGTATTTATCCAGGAGTCTCAAAATAGGACTAATTGACAGATCTAATTTGACATACGGAACATTCATTTCGTCTGCTATATCCTTTATAACTTCGTAACCGGTTATGGAAATATCCAGAATAATGGTTCCTCCTTGCGAGAAGCCACTGCAAACTATACCACATTATTAAATAGATTATTAATGTACTTAAATTAATTATTTACGTTGTTCAAATGCTGCATTTTCATCCAAAGTTAACACAATCAAATCATATTTATTGTCCACATTATTAGACTTAAGACTATCCTCGATGTATTGCGTGTATTCCTCTTGCCCCAAGTCTTTTATTAAAACTGAAAAATAAATAATAACATGTTGGCATTAGGAAATATGAAATTTTGGATTTTTTCACGATTAGTGAAATTAACCTCGCATAGACTTCGATCAGTCCGTATTCACTACAATTCACTAATTGAGTCAAATAATAACATCTTCAATTAAAAACATTTAAAAACATTTTAATACCATAGTAATGAAACAAAAAATTAACTGCTGCAAAGTTAAAATTCATCTATTGACCATAGGTCCTTCTGCTTTCTAAAAAAATACTAGATAAAATTTTCCCTCTATACAGTCATACCTCTTTTAGTACGGTTATTCTTAGAATGTATTTAGTTCCTCGATTAGTTCTGCAACTTGGCGGAGCCGATTAACAGCAAAGTATTATTGCTCGGTGGCAATCGCAAGCTCGACAACCGAAATCCCGTCTATCGAAATCCCGACGTTTGAAATCCCGAGTGTATCGAAATCCCGACGTTCGAAATCCCGGCTGGCTCAAAATCCCGATGTTCGAAATCCAGACTATATCGAAATCCCGACAGTGTCTTTTATTTTTATAAATTTCTACAATAACATTTTTATGGTAGTCGGGATTTTGATATAGTCGGGATTTTGATTGTCGGGTTATGGTAGTCGGGATTTTGACATAATCGGGATTTCAAGCGTCGGGATTTTAATACAGCCGGGATTTCGAACGTCCGTATTTCAATAGATGATCTTTTGGTTGTCGGGCTTGCGATATAGACCCATTATTGCTATATATCTTATGATTCAGTCGCGCTCGGTTGCGGCCTCATAGAAAGGGATCCTCATATTTTAAGATGAGCACACGAGAACATTAATGCGGTCCTTCAAAAAACCAATACTTATTATTAACTATGTTGATATTTGAATTGTTAAAAGGCATCATAATTAAATTGCAACTGGGGCCTCTTAAGTGCTTACTCCGCCACTGTTATGACTTCACTTATTACGCTATAAATAAACCTATAATTATAAACTACCAATTTACTGAGAACAATTCATCATTAGTTTAAGAAATTGCATGGATTATTACATTGAGAATAGTTAGAATAATTATTTTGTTATTGTATCATATCAGTCAACAAACATTGAAATTACTATATGTCTAGATAATGAAGTTATTATGCAGAAAATAGAATTCTAAAACAATTAATCTTTTTGGCTTACCAATTTATTTAATTGCTTAGAATACAAAATGCGGCCTAGTTTGATAAGAAGTTGCAAATAAATATGTTTTTATGTGCGAATATTGCGAAAATTCATAAATGGAATATTATTATCAGGCGCATTCCTAAAACATTTACATTCAAATTTACAATCTTCAGTTAAGTTTTATTTTTTATTTATAGTAATTATATAAAAAAAAATGTAATTAGTTAGTTAAAAATACAAATGGTTTTTGAAAGTAGCATTTCTATTTTTTAATTGAATTATTATGTACTAAAAGAAAATCTGTATATAGTAAACAATAACTTGATTTGATGGATTTGTAAGGATATACACGTGAATTGCTATGTTTTTTTTAAGTGGAACCTTGCTTAGTTGCAAAAAATAGTTAACACAACTAAATTAATGCCAAATAGTTAAAAATTAATTTATAAAAAAACAACTATTGCAACATTTTGTAACAAGTTCTAGTAGATAATAATATCTATAATTATTTTTATCTGTCAATTATAACCATTCAATTGTTTTTCTATAGTCGTTTACCTATTGTTTCCGTTTTCCTTGAAGACCATAAATAAAGTTCATTGGAAAAAAACACTTTAAATTTGTATACAGCATAAGAACATAGAAAATTAATCTCGTAAACTAATAAACAAATGTTTATGTTTATGTATATGTAGTTAATTGACTGTATTATTATATAAAAGGCCAAATGACGTTTCTATATCAGTGGCGGATTAAGCATTAAGAGTATGGGGGCCCCGAGATATACTTTTCGCAAAATATATTTGATAAATTATAATTGAAGAGAAAAAGAAAATTTCCAACTAATATCTTGGATATTAAAAAATTAGCGCAGAAAATTATTTTTTATACATTATAATCTTCTTTTACCTTTATATAGACGAGTCTCTGTCGGAGATATTGATGTAACCGATTATCCGCACTATGCGAAGTACTACGGTAAACTTTTTGTTTCTTCACTTTTCATATGCAAGCCACTTTGATATTTTAATCTTAAGAGTAACAAGCTCTGAAGATTGATAATGCTTTATGTAAAAAAAATATTTATTCTTATTCTACTTTCTGCATATTTCAAATGTACATGCACATTTGTCATTTCCTTTTTGTCGGTTCTTGTGTAAAAATGTAGTATTCCATTGCGTTTTATATGGAGGCAATCAATAGAATTTAAGTTGTAAAATAATTAACCAGACATCGTAGTAAATTCTAATCCTACACGAATGATATTGACGACTTCAAAAATAAACTTTTATTAATACATAAATATGTTATTGATTTGTCCTGAAAAAAATAATATATATATATTACGTTCTGACGTATTGTTGTGGACACTAATACATTAAATAGTTATTTTTGTTATACATTTTGTATATTTTAAATGTTCAGGTATATTTCATATTTATTTTAAAAATGTGCAACATTGGAGTGTTTTAGTGAATACCAAAGTCGTTTATCTTGCATGTTATGTATTTTAATTTTATCGCTTAAAATGTGGATTTCCATTGCGTGGTAGGACAATTCCAGCAATTAAATTAAAAATATAAAATAAAACAACGATTAAAATCAAAACAATTATATGAATGATATTAACAATTTTACAAAACAAAGTAACTTTTATTCATACTAAATATATTATTGATCTGTTCTGCAAGAATAATATATTTACTTCAGAAAATGTAACGTATTTTTCTAGAGAGTTAATGAATTAATGTGATGGATTCAAAGTTGTTTTTATTATTACAAGCAGTAACTATTTCTATTCTGCATATTTACAATGTTTCAGCATATTTCATAATTATTTATTAAACAATAATGTTTTGTGTATATTTCAGTATATATCAAATGCGTGTATTGCTGTGTTCGTCAACTTTTGATGGTTTTCGTGTATAAATTTTCCATTCCATCACATTTCGCATCGGAATAACTCCAGCAAATAAATTAAAGTAATAAAATAATTGACCAGACAAAGATGTAAATGCTCAAAGTACGAATGATATTGACGAGTTCGTAAATCAAAAGCAACTTTTATTAAAACATAAACGTGTAAAGTATTTTTACGTATAAATATAATGCTTTCAAAGTTGTTTATTTTTTATTATTACATACATTCACGGTTTCTATTCTTTTTTTATTCTGCATATTTCAAATGTTTCGGTTTATAGTTAAAGCGTCTTCTACATAATTTATTGCATATTCGTTGGATATTTGCTTTCGTGTAAAAATGTCGCATTCTATTGTATTTCGATTAGGTTTTTTTTCTATTCACGCAATTGCAAATAATAGTATTTAGGCTATCGCCATATATTATAGGTACGTTATTTGTGCGGCGATAAAGATTGACGAACCGTCGTCCATTAATACCTCTGTATAGATGTCTGGTCTGGATTTTGTTGTTTGCTAAACTCGAACATACACACACATATATACCCAAGTGCTTGCACGCATTCAAGACCGGCTCAGGCAAAATAAAAGGCTTAGCCTCCTCCTCTTCTTCTTCTGCAACTCTTCTACTACACCTGTACGTGTGTTTGGATGACGAAGGTCTACAAATACACACTTCCAACAGGTTCAAAAGTGATCATCTTTTTTTTGCTTTTATTGTTCCGACTTTATCGGAATCAGTGGAAACCACTGTCCTGTCTTCTTCTTCATCGCCTTGCAGAACAAACAGCCTCTGCTAGAGCCCATTCAACACGTAAGTACATTGAGACAAACACAGTTATCACATGTAGGAAATCGATTATAATTGTTTACTTCCCTCTCCTTCATTCTCCAATTAAATAAGAGAAAAAAATCGTAACCAGTTAGAATTAAAATTTCAAAAAATAAATGCGTCGAGGAAGTTTTTCATTGAGAAAGTTACGTTGTTGGAAAGTTATCCGTTCAGGAATTTGAAAAGCCATTTTGGAACTGCTTTCGTTCCTTTTTTTGATTAATTTTTCTTTTGAAATCGAATTTCCGCAGACATTTTCTAGCCTTTCTCTCCACGGGCCGGTAACCGTTTTTGTACACAATTCTCCATCCTTTTCTGGTCCGCTCGGGATGCATTTTTTTTCCGCTCCTTCCTACCATGTATTTGAAATAGTTTTGAGCCTTGCGTTGATAATTGCGATTTGAAAGTGCTCGTATTACGTCCAGGAAAATAATTTCATTTTATCAAGTTCGTTCGGTACGAACGTTCTAAAACTAATATTATAAAAAAACAATGTGAAAAAAAACAATACCAGGGACAGAGTGGTTTGCGAAAATTCAGTTTTAATTAAACCTGTAAATTACAGTGAAGAAAATATGAGTATTATTAATTACGTAAGTAATATGAGTATTATTAATTATGTAAGAATGAATCATGTTCTTATCATTGCATTTCTTAAATACACGCATATCTCTAACTATAACTTCAAAAACACTAATTATTTATTAAAGAATGCATTTAGATATAAGTAGTGTAAAGAAATATTTTGATGATTGTTTATTGTTTACATTAATAAGTGCATGGAAATTTTTTTAAATTGATCATCTACTTCATATTGTTATTTTCAATTCTGAGTCAAAGTAATTTACATAATTATTGTTTTCGTATTTTTGTTTCGGTCTATCGTATAAGGTTAGTGGAAATTAAGTATAACAAAGCATATTTATTATTGCTGGAAAAGTTATCTGCCAGTTAAAAGTTCTTCATTGTAAAATGAACATTTTAGTTTTGAATAACTATATTCTCTGCAGGGTTATTTTGCTTGAAGAGGAGCGCATTATTGTTAGTACACTACGAGTACCAAATATCTTAGAACCACCCTAATAAGAAGTATATGCATGTTGCGTAATATTATCTACAACTTCGCTATAGAATAAGTTTTATAAAAGTTAAGCAGCATCTATCAAGGATAGTATTTTAATGGGCACGTTTTGCTAACACGTGAAAAGTAGAACGGAAACGTTTAGTAGCATTTAAGCAAATCACATTCACATAACACAACATTCACAAGACTATTGAAGGATTTCGTGTACATAACCAATAAGAACATGTATAAGACAAATTTAATTAGAAAAAAAATACCAAAAATAATTATATTTTCTAATAATTGAACAAAACACGATTCGCGATCCAATTAATTTTTACATGAACACGTTAATCAAACAAAAAAAATATTTCTCTGAAAACTATATAAATCAAATTACTTATGAGAATTAAATTGACGTCTTTGTTAACCAAAAGAAATTTGTGTTTTTTCATAAATAACATTATTACTTTTGAACGTATAAATGCACGAATTAATTATATAATAAATTATAAAAACATGTATTTAATGCGCGAAATATAGTGATTTTATAATTGTAATGATTTGTTTATTTGTGAAACCAGGAACGTTGGTTAATGAATGTTTTCTTTTAAATCCTCGAAATCTTCCTTGATTGCACTTTATAATCTTCAAAATTATTAATAAAAAAATCCCTGCATGTTTTGAATGTGCTTGCGGTTGTATAAATTACAATCGTGTTTTTTTATTGACTGAAAAGAACTCGGAGTCGTAGTTTCAAGTTCGTAAACAAGTTTTCCATATTAATGAATTATCGAAGGAAAAATAACAACTGTAATAGTTATATGCATTTCGTTTGTATTTTATATGGGATCTTCATTAAAATATACAACAGTATATACTTAATTTATAGTAAGAAAATTCATAACGTAATTTAATTTAATTACTGACTGCAGTCTTTCAGCCATAAAATTAATTATTTTTATTAATTAAATTTCCCTAGGGAGGTGCGGACTGATCTAAGCAAATTTCCAAATGAATTTTATGAATTGTATAGGGGAAGCGCCAAATGATTAAATATTTTTAAGGGAAGCGTAATAACATCAAGTTTGGAAACCACTGGTCTATAGTCTTTTGGTCATAATTGACGCAATTATTATTTTATTTAAACATATTAAATTATATTAGTCTTTAAATATTATTTAAACAACTTCTTAACCTCATTTACTTTGTGTTAGAATGAAAGCAACCTAACTAATTGATAAATATAGTAATTAATATATTTATAAACAAGGTCATTTTTACTTCTATATATATATAAATGTTCTATTTTCGCTTCAAAATATTTATAAAAATTTCGAATGTAAGTTCTTATTATACATAAATAGACCAATATCTGAGTAAATAGAAAATAACAAATGTTTACCATCAGGGTCGTATTTAACATACAAAGCTCATTATACTCAATTAAAAACCAAACAATAAACATTATCATTACTTTATTAGAATAGCCGTTACGATATAAATTAGGCTAAGCTACTAAATGTGCACATTTTGAATATATTATCATACATATTATTTTCATTAAAAATGATTCTATTCTATTATTACAACTATATAATTATTTCTAATTTCAATTACATTGTTATAAATATTAATTCAACACTGGTGTTTTTCTGATATATTTTTATTAATTAGAAAATAATCGTTTTAAGTAAACATTTTTGGAACTAACATTTAAATCTTTGGAAAAAACCTTGTTGAATTATTTATAGCAGGCAAACTTGTTCGTTATTGTGATCGATTATTTCCTATATAAACTGATTGCGATCGAGTATTCTACTTAAAATGTGATCTATTGAAATGAAGTTTTTGCCACCTCTGATCTGTTGTATAGCAAATAAAGTTCTTTGTAAAATGATTTATCTTTACTATAATCAGCTTTTTTTGTACTTTGACTCGTATATATATCCATTAACGTATTTAGAAATATTTAATTCTTAAATTATTTGTTCATTAATAATTGGTTTACATTTTGTTTTTGTTTTTTAATTTCCTGATATTTAAATAAATAATAAACCATTTTACTAAAGTGTCGTCGTCTTTGTCTCGCTTAATTATTTATGTTTAATCTTGGGTGTTTCGGAAATTCCAAAACCACATTTAGTAAAGTATAATGTTAATGATTTATTTACCAGAATAAAATTAAGTAAAGTCCCAAATTGAATTTTATTTGTTTTGATGTATCAAGTTATGAATGCATATATTTACATAATTCTATCAACTTTTATTTACATACAACTAAGTGCATTTATTTAATTATTTATATGAAAATACAAGGATTATTTACATTTATCACCTTTTTTATGAATATGTAATAACGTTTCGATTCAAAGTTGATGCAATTTTAAGTATTTCATCATCTATGTTAACTTCTTGTAAAACATAACATTTGTATGGAAAATATGTACAGTGGAACCTCGTTTAATCCGTTCCAAAATTTCCGGATTTTTACTCATATAGTAAAACATATTACAGATAATATGTGTACACAAGTTTTAAAAATGTTGTAAAAGGGACTTCTTTTCTCATCGTCTCTCGTTATGCGAAACATCGTTCGTTAAGCGATTCATTTTTCTCGCTTAAACGAAATGCTCGTTATGTGAGGTGCTCATTAAGCGAGATTCCACTGTATTTTCATTATGTAAACGTAATAACAAGTAATAAAAAATCACAAGATACAAAACAATAAAATAGGAATAGAACTTAGTCTTAGATCACAATTATTGTTTTCCCCTTTTTATGTTTTCATTTCTTTGTTATAAATATGTTTATTATAATTACCTCATTAATTATCTGTAAATTTAATTTGCGGTTTCTTTAATTAATTTTAACATTATTCATGCATGTTATTTTTAATTTAATCGCTCTGATTATTGCATTCTTACGAAATTCCCCATAATATTTTGCGTGCTAATTGAGTTGCATAACAAAATATAATTTATTAGGATAGGTTTAAGCAAAATACCTCATTAATTATTCGCAGTAAATTTTCTAAAATAAAAAGTTGTGTTTCAATTTATTTATCTATTTTTTATATATTACTACGTTGTTTGAAAAAACGTTAATAACAAACTTCCTACTTCTGCTATTACCATTTCCATAATTGTTAGCGCTACGAATACTATCGAGAATCTGCTTAAATTATGAATAATCACTTAAGCGTCACGCTAAAAAAACGTATAATTACCGACAATTACATAAATATAAGCGAGCGACGACCACTTTACGTTTCTTTTGAATTTGTAGTTCGTGTGTCTACTTGGTGCTATATCTGCTGGTTCCAAATAATTTAAAACTATTGTATTTTAGTAAATTTTCTTTAAATCTTTTACTAATATATTTTATTTTGTTTTAGTTCAAGATGAGATGGGCGCTATTCCTGCTTTCCATAAACCTGCTACATCTTCACGCGATTGGATGCAGGAAGGAACTGTTCTACCATCATGTCTACAGATACGGATATGAGATCTTCTGCGACCATAACAATCACCAGGAACTGTACGAAACTTCCGTCTATAACGAAATCATGCTCACAATAACCGAATCCAACGTTAAGTTAAACCCGACACTCTTCAAAAACATCAAACGCATTCGTGAATTGAATATCACCAACTCCCACATCACGTTCGAAAACAGCACGAATTTCGAGTATCTATCTCAACTGGAAACCTTGAGTTTAACGCATAATAAATTGAAGGCTTTAGAGCTGAACCTCCTCGATGGACTGGTTACTCTTAAAAACTTAAACTTGCAGTTCAATTATTTAACCGGTTTTGCTGATGGTACTTTCAGAGATTTATTAGCTATGGAGGCTTTGAACTTGAGTCATAACAGCTTAACCGATCTGACAGGATTGAACATCTGCGAATTGGAGAGTCTGCAACAATTGGATTTATCGAATAACGCTTTGACGAGCTTACAAAACAATTCGTTCTCTTGTTTAGTTAATCTAGAAAAACTCAAATTGGATAACAATTATCTCAGTGTTTTAGATCACATCTCCAGCATTCGTTTGAGCGAAATCCATTTGAGGTTCAACTTTATTTCAAAAATTGGCATTTTGAATACAACTAACTTGCTGAAACTCGACTTGGAAGGGAACAGATTGATAAATTTAGGTAGCAAAAACTTTAGCGAACTTATAAACCTGACATTTTTAAACTTGAGAAATAATTCCATTGAGTTTATTGATAAAGAAACCTTCACGAACAACAAGAAAATCACGAATTTGATGCTGGGTCACAATAGGTTAGGATTCATTCACCTAAATATACCTTCTTTGGAAGTGCTAGATTTACGTTTAAATCAGTTCTATGTGTTTGGAGATAAACTGAAGCTACTAACTAGTCTGAAGAGTATTGATTTATCTCAGAATAAGATAATGAAAGTTGACAATAATACTTTTAAAAATTTACACTCATTGCGAGAACTGAATTTGTCTAACAATAAATTCAATAATATTTCATTAAATTTTATGACTGACTCTCACCTGAACGTACTCAATTTTTCGCATAATAATCTCAGTGTTTTGAGTGAAGATACTTTTAAAAACTTAAAGAATTTGCACACTTTAGACATGTCGTTCAATCAGTTGGGTTATTTGAATGGAAGTATTTTTGGTAACTTGGAGAACTTGGAGATTCTGAATATAAGTTATAACAAATTGAAAGTTTTGGATTACAAGGTTTTGGAACCTTTGGAGAATCTGCACGTCCTAGTCTTGGAAGGAAATCTTCTTGAAAATGTAGATTACAGCTCGATCATCAGTGAACTACCCAATTTGGATGTACTCAGTGTTAAGAACAATCTGTTGACTTGTGATTTCATCGCTGGAATGATTAGGTACTTCAGGGATAACGACATCAAATATACAATTAATGAAGACTTTCAATATGATAAAGAAAACGTGGCTGGGATTTACTGTAAAGAAACTGATGATAAGATATCCTCTTTGCAAGATACTATTGGGGTTGTTTTGAACAACACGAAAATGCTGAATGAATTGTATAATATTTCCCATGAGAAGAACTACATTTCGTTGAGCGGAACCACGATTGCTATGATAATAGTAACATTCATAATTTGTTTCTCAGTATTTTGTATTTTAGTCTATAAATTCGCCGTGTGGAAGCGGAGGAAAGATTACATCATAGACGAACTGGAGTTAATGAGCAGCAAAGGTCCATATAAAAGATTCGCAAATTGATTGATTGAAACGAAATAATACACCGAACAAATGTATGCTGTAAATTACCGTCATTAGAAGTAATTATTGTATAGCAATTGCATAAGAATTTCCCAATTGACCACAAAGGAGAGTTATGTAAGCGACTCGCACTGACGATATTTGTGATGATTGTGATATTGGTTGGAAATTGGAAAATAAGTTAATATATTTGTAAATTGAACCGTTTTTGAATAAATTTCTCACCAAAATATTTAAGAATAAGCCATATGTAAAGAAAAACTCATTAAATACATTACATCCTTTAATTGAAATGTTTCCTAAGTATTATTTCTATTTGGAAATAAATTATAGTTTTTTTTTGGTAGCTGCAATCACCAAAAATAATAATTTTATGTTTTCTAATTTACAGACCTGAACAATAAGTAAAACTCTTAACAGCAAATAGTACTTGTTTGAAACATATCATAATAACCTAATTATTACGCGATTATATTTAATCTTTATTAAAATTTAGTGCAAGTGTACAAAGTATACAATTAAAACAATTAAAATTGTCACTTTTATGTAATGATAATTAGATTTTTGTGATGTTTTTTTAAATATCATTTTATGTAATTCTAAAATTTATGTTATGTATTTAGAAAATATTATGTCACTTAATAAGATAAGATAATAACCGTAATAAGAAATTATGTACTTAATTTATGAATGGTTTAACTTAAATTATTGTATAATAAAACAACAATTTTTCAAAAACTTGAAATAAAGTTTAAGGAACTACTTACTCTTAAGAAAATAATCACATTTTTAATACGAATCCGTTAATTATAACAATAAGTCATGGATAAAATCATAAATGTCTTTTGTAGATAAATATTGTAGTTATTTTTAAATTTGACGACTATATTAAATAAGTTAAACACGGCAAAACTCTGGATATACTTGATGGGTGACAATTACAGTAGAATTGTTAGAATAGCTAGTAAATAACCAAATATTAATATAGTAGATTTTCTTAATATGACTTAATATGATTGTTTTTAAAACAATTTGTCCAAATATAGGAAATCTGCTTGATGGTAAAAACTTACTGAATTTGATGAATTTATCTTGACCGCAAACAATTTTCATTAGCGAAATGATAATTAGAATCCAAGTGGACGTCTTCGAACCCATCGCGATTGGAACTGAATATGGAAATGTACAGTTTCGAGTTGGAACCTATCCGTCGAGTTAGGGGCGTTAAACAAATGACACGCGTCGTAGAGAAAGAAAAATCAAGATCGCCATCACGAGATCCTGAATAATTAATAATTGTAATGGCCTCAAACGTGCGAGGCATAAGGGCGAAAACGTTTCCGAACGCTCACTGTATTTACATTGGATTGATTTGTGGCTACCGTCGTTAGGGGGTGTAGGGGTGTTCCCTAAACGCCTCGCACGAACTACTCTATAATTTGATTATTGAAGTCTTTATGAAAGTTTAACAGGCAGATTTCCGTGCACAATCCGATACACTGAATTACACATGAACTAAATCATATACGCTTTAGCATTTTATGTATTATTTATTCATTTGGTAAAGGGAAAACGGTAATTCATCCGCAGTTTCTCTTTTTATTATTTCCAAGAATATTTTGTGTTTTTCATAAGAATTGAAATGGTTTAGAATATTCAATTTTTGCTGTAAATACTATCTACTTTCAATAAATATCCTTGTTAGATCGCACTTGTTTTGTATTTACAATTATTTCTATAGTAAAGTAAAATTATAACTAATGACCGTGCATTTGGATATGAATTATATACTATAATAAGGTATATTTTAATAAATGTTTTAGCTCAAAATGATTGATGAACTTACGAAATTGAATACGAATTTTGTTATTGAAATACTTCAGCAATTCCAAGACTAGTTTATTTTACGGTGTTTTTTTCCGCTGATGGAATTGCTGCACCAGTTCCTTCATATGAAGAAGATTGACGAGCAAAAGACTCGTAATCACCAATACCGCATCCGTATTTATAACAAATATTTTGATTTATTCTACTTGAATTTCAAAATTTAAAAACTGAAATTACCTCAAAGGTATTGAATCCTGTAGAGCAAGGGTAGCCAACAAGTCGATCGGGATCAACCGATCGATCGCGAAATCGATACTAAATATTTATATTTTTTTACATAAGTAGACTTAGCATGTATTTCACACCTCCTCCCCCCATTTAGACTACGCCTATCACAACAAGTCGATCGCGACACATTTTTAAGATAAAGGGTAGATCATATGTTCACAAAAGTTGGCTAACCCTGCTATATAATATGTGTAAACTATATATACACCCCAACATTGGTTGCCTAGATGTTGATTGATGAGAGCGCCTCGTTGATTGATGAGATGTAGTATGAACAAAAAAATGAGACAAATAACAAACAAAAAACATACAATACTTTAATTATAATGGGATTTATAGAAAACCAACTTTAAAAAAAATGGGTGATCTCAACTTTTCTACGGTTTAAACCGGTTTTCGAATTTTCACAAAAAAATACAAAATAAAAAAATGTGAAATTAAGATCTCCAAAAAAAAAAAATATAAAAAAAACTTATTTTTTTTTAGAATATTACATAAATCTACAACAAAATAAAATTTACAATCTCTATTTCATCTTCTTTACCAATTAAGAATAAGACTTAATTCCTTCCTGATTTTCAATAACCTGTTTTTTAAAGTAAGTTTTTTACTTGAAATGTGACTAAATTTCTTCATATCGCGAATGGTCAAATTTTCCAAAAATTCAATACAGTACTTAAATGTTAAATTATGTATGTTTGTATTGTTGCAATAATAATTATTGTAAGTTTCTTAAAAAAATGAGAATATGTCGCCGAGTTGTCTCATGTCATTGGTGATTTGCGAGATAATTTTGGGTTCATAGAGATTGAAATTACTTTTTACATTTTTTGTTTTTCTTATATTCTAGTTTTACTTTTTTGTAATTTTCTCATTATGTATGCCCCAATAATTTTAATAATCACAACAAGAAAATTAAAACACAAACAACATTTTATTAAAAAAAATCATCGCTGAAAATGTGTATAGAAATTTGTCAATTTAAACCCAATATAACGAATTCGCATACATTGTTTTGGTATAATCATAACTGAATGCAAGATTAAGAGGAAAGGAAAGCAATTTAATTTGGGCACGGAAATGCCTTCGGTCACTTCGTGAATATTGTCACGACCCGAGGATTCCGAACGGGGATTTTCTATCATATTTATTCGCTCTCTGATTAAGCTCGACCATTTTTCGAATAAACACAATTACTTTAATTAAGCAAAATTCTTTAAGAAATTTGAAAAGTATACATCAATTATATTAATATATTTACTGAAGTGTTTGAGACTGTTTAATTAATTACTTTAAATATTAAAACTTAGCTTAATAATTTTGTTCATTTGTTCATTTTGTGCATTTCAGAATCTTAAAAAGCTCACTTGGTGAATCTGCAGAAAAATTATTTCTCAATTACGAGTAATATTCTGGAACAGATTATGCTCGAGGTTCCAATGTACTTGGCTAATGATAGAGTGTTACAAATTAAAGACTTGAATTGACGTGATATTTTATTAATGTTGTTTTCATGTATTTTAAATAGATTAATCTGTCTATATTACTATTATTGTTGTAAAGATATATTTCTATATCTTCCTGAAATATAAGCTTTTTACATATTACTTCTCTTACAGTTTGCATACATTAAAGATATTAATAATTGAATGCGAAAATATATGTAATTAAGCTTACATCGTGAACATTTATAATACTGACAATTATAGTAAATTCATTCAAAGCGATCATGATTGATTTATAATAATACAGGTACTCCTCACTTTACAACCGACCGTTAAGCTAATTGGTCGATAAGCAAGGAGTTTACACTGAGGATCGTTGTGAGATTATAAAAAATATACACCGACACTCGGGATTCTCGAATTGCAGGTCGAAATCGATTGATTGTAAGAGCGAGTGGTCGTTGATAGGTCGTTAAGTCAGTACAACAATACCTTGCAAAGTGCGGCCTAGATCAAACAGAAAATCAGTACAGTGCGCTTAGAAAAATTGTAAAGAAACTTGTAAATCAGAATTGAGCAAAATAAAATTAAAGTTTAGTTTTATTTTTCATATTATGTTATATTGTTAAGTATTTATTATGTTTCTTGCAATAAATATAATTATTATTAAAAATAAATGTAAAAAATATTTGTTATCTATAAATTAACGTTGTTTTAGTAAAATCTTTATGAAAACCGGTATTTCAAGAAATTTATGTACACTGGAACCTCCAACGAACAAAATTAATTGTAAGAAAAGTGTCTCGCTTAACGAGCGACGTTTTGCATGATGAGTGAAGATGAGAAGAGAAGTCTCAGATTGCGCGCCGCGCTTATTTTTGAGACTTGTATACACATATTATGTGTAAAAATCCGGAAATTTTGGAACGGATTAAACTCGTTAAACGAGGTATAAATTTTCGGGTAAATGTACACCGTAACTTCATAGTTTTGAAGAATGTGAAACTATTGGGGGTGAATAAATAATAATGTTACAATAACTTTAAAACATATATAATAATGAGGTTCTTTACTTAATTGTAACACGGTAAAATTATTACCAAACAATTGTTTTAAAGGATACATATACTAAGACTAAACAGGACAAATTCTATGAAAGACTATAAATCTTAAGATTAAACACACATAAATATTTACAATTTAAAATTATTTTGTATGTACATTAATAACAGCTTCCAATCTCCTAATCAATTATTTACAATTATATTCATTGTTGTTGTTTACTGAAAAATAAAAATTGTAACGTGGTAAAATAGACAACGCAGCAAATACACTCCACGGTGCAACTATGCTTCAAAATCACGAAGGAAGACGGTCGAGGTCTCCAGTTGAAGATATTTAATATATATTTGTGTGCTACAAGAGGACGCTGTTGGTGCTGTAGAAGAGCCATAGCCCATCGTCGGAGAAGAAGTGTGTTGATCTTAGAAAGCATTTATAAGAGTTCTTCCTCTCAGAAAAAGGAAGTGGCACCCTGAACCTTCACAAATGACGGACTCACGCCCAGCCGATGTAGAAGATTTTGTATATTTTTTTTTCGTACACGAAGCACCCACGTGTTACAATTGGCGACCAACAGGGGCGACGTGTGGAAGAATAGTTAAATTGTAATTAAAAGGTATGATTTTTGAGAAGTTTATTTTTTTGTTGGTACGGTTTATTCAGAACGATAGTCATTCATTTTTTTGTTATTGCTTATCAGTTTCAATTCAGTTTATTCAAATTTGGAGACGTTTTCTTTTTACAAGAGTTTATTTTCATTTTGGTTTAGTTTTGATAGAAATTTAAAATATAAACATGGATGTATAAAGACTCTTGAAAGATGAATGCACAATCAGTTGAAAAGTAGACTTGCGCCTCTTCTATTGCAAGAAACTGGGGAGGTACTAAGTCCCATAACGGCGGTGTCATACGACTGGAACGAGGAGATTGCAGTCTTTAAGCGGAAGATTGAATTTTTGGCGTTTTCATGGCTCATATGATTCAATCTCGGCACAGTGGATTGAAACGAAGTTGATCCATTTAAATGCACGCTTGGTAAGGTTTCCTGAAGAATTGAGGACTCTGTTGAGGATGATGTCAAAAATTAGTTATTAAAGAAGAAAATGACTATCAGGTGAAAGAAGAAAATGATAATGTCATGTCATTGTCATTGTCATTGAGATAAATTATCCAAACATTTCAGCTGCTTGCAACTGAAATGTTTGGATAATTTATCTCAATTCAAAGATGATCCTTGAATCATCTATAAGAAAAATTGAATCTGAAGAAGATGATGATGTGCCACTCACCTCAAGAAAGAAGGTGAAGAAAGAGAAAAGAAAAAAATATGGTTCAGATGTTGAAGAAGAAGAAAAAGAAGAGATTCAAGAAGAAGAGGTCAAGAAGAAAAAGAAGTTGAAAAAGGAGAAAACTTATAAGGTCAAGAAAGAAAAGAAGGCAAAGAAAGAGAAAAGCAAAAAGCGGAAAAAGTACAATTCAATGGATGAAGATGTTAAACATAAGTATTGTTATGAAATTAATTATGTCCATATGGGTTCGCATACCGATGAAGACACGTCGCACGCTAAATCTTCTATTAGAATCAACTGCCTTTGAAATTTATTTTTTTCACACACAGAAACGATATCATCAATATTCTGTATGTATATAGTCAGCAATGAAGTCACTTTTATTGAGCCAGAAATGATTTTCAGATATTCCGGTGTAATTCTTAGAAAAGATCCGAACCTTCAGCAAAAAAAAACCTTGAATTCCCCTACTCTTTATCCCCACTCCTTTTGCAAAAACATTACATTCGTGACTGTATAAATAGCAAGTACAATAGTTAAGATGCTTCAAACATTGGCCTTAATTTAGAATTTTGATAATACCATTTAGAATCCAAACTTTGAATTAATTAAACACTTTTTGCACAATGAGTATCGACGTACTAAAAACGAATTATATACAAATTCTTGATCATATGAAATCTATTATGGAGACGATTGAGAATGATCTAAAAAAAACGACTTAAAGATTTCAGTCGTCACCAAGAAAAATTGATCGCCACGCACAAAATTTAAAGGAACCTGATTAATGATACACGAGGACCTTACAAAAACGAGGCATGAGTTGTTTAAATTTGCGGTTCAAAAATACGGACGTGAACATGTTTGGACGTGGGAAGTTGAAGTGGCGGTAAGAGTGAAGAGTAAATATATAAGAGTAGATGCTGTCAGCGATTTGGAGGACGACATTTAGCCTGGGTGTGTCGCGGCTGGTCAGTTATATTTTGTCTGTTATATTATTTTATTTCGCTTGCTGCATATTTGTTTATTTTTATCTGGGTGCACAATTGGGTTATTGTTGTTGTTTTCTATTATTGTTATATATTAGGGATTATTTCATATTTGTTTAGGTACATTTTATTATTCTTTTATATTGATAATTAGTTACTTTTTTTTGTTTGTCGCTGCTGTTTGCTCCTGCCATTAACTTATTTACTATTTTTTATTGCTATTAGTCAGTTCATTTATTTGTTTATTTTATATATATTTTTCTTTCTGAATATTTTTTAAATTGTAATTTGATTATTTATTGCTGCTGCATATTTTTGTCTGCATATTTTTTTTTAATTAATAGTACTTTTGTTGACTTCTGTTTAGTCTTATTATTTGTGAACAGTTTTCTGTCTATCATGACTAGTAAATTGTTTAGTGTCTGCCACTTGAATGTGCTCTCACTATGTTAAAATTTTGATGTTTTAGGGCTGAGTGTGGGTTCTTCGGGGTATGATGTGATGGCTTTGTCGGCGACCTGGTTGAATGAGAGTGTCTCATCTGAGGGGATTGCTATGTCTGATTATAATCTGATTAGACATGATCGTGGTGGTCGTGGAGTTGCCCTTTGTTTGAGGAGATGTTACAGTTATAGAATTATTCGGGCTAGCTTCTGTGTTTATTCTGAGAGCTTGTGGGTGGAGTTGATTGTGAGTGGGAAGCGAATTGTTGTTGGTGTCGTTTATCGTCCACCGCGCTCGAGTTATCGACAATTCATCACGGATTTTGAGGAGACCCTGTCCAGTCTTCTGATTTCCACTGACTCCCTGATCTGTGTGGCTGATTTTAATGTTAATTTCCTTGATGATGCAGATACATCGACGAGCAGCCTGATCTCGGTTACCTTTGAGCGTGGGCTCGTGTCTATAATAAATGAACTAACCCGTGTCACTCCTGGGTCTGAGACCCTGCTTGATCAATTTTTTATTGGTCGTGGGCTATGTGTTCATAGTCATGGCACAGTGGATGCAAGCGATGTTTCTGATCATAAGTTAATCTATGTAAAACTAACGATTGTTAGGGAAAGGTCTGAGAAGAGAGTGTTCAAATGTAGAAATCTGGCTGGAATAGCTGCAAATGATTTCTACAGTAACTTATATGCTGTGGAATGGTTCGAGATTTTTGATTTCCAGGACGTTAATGTGAAGGTGCGTTTTTTTGTTGAGAGGATGATGAAGGTTGTGGACATACTTGCTCTCCTTAGGACTGTACAACATCAGGGAGTTGATGAGAATTAGGGACAGGGCCTTGTCAAAGTGTAAGTCGACTGGATCCGTTGGTGATGTTGCCTTCTATAGACAGATGCGTAATATGACAACTAGAGCCGTCAGAGCGGAGCAGCGGGCCTATCTTGTTTTTACCTGCGCAAATTGCGACAGCAGGTCTTTGATGTGGAGAGAGGTGAAAAATGTTAATGTTTGTAGGTCGAATTCTAGAGGGATTCCTGGTCACCTGGATAATTTAAAGATATTAGTTCGCAGTTTCTGATCTTTTATGAGTAGTTAGGGCGGTCAGCTTCGATGCGGAATTTAATTTTGTGTTTTCTCTCTTTCGTCATTTTATATGATCCTCTTTATGTTTAAGGAATCTAATATTTAGAACTGAAAAATTACGTAAATGACAGTAATACTAGCAAACCGTTGAGTATTACGTTATCAGTTTCCGTGAGACTTTGACACACCATTTGCAAATTTTCAAATTGGTTTATGAAATGGAAAATTTGTGCAGTGTTATTTATCATTGTCTTCATTATTATTTCCAGTATTATACTCATGTGCTTTGTTCTCTACTCGTGCTTTATGATATTATATAATTCAAATGATTGATTTTTCACCGAACCTTGTACTTTCCCAATTTTAGCCTTTTATTCATGCAAAATGCCACCTAAAGCTACATAATCTTATGCCACGTTGGTATATACTGCTATTGGGTAATGAGGTGAGCGTGGCCTCACTTGATGCTGCACAAGCTACAGCAGAGGTAGATTGGTTCGTTAATCATGTATATTTAACATTTAAAGAAAAAAAATATTAGGAGTTATAAAATTAAACTCTAAAGATACAAATATAATATTTTAATATTACCAAATAAATTTTAACACATAGTGTGCGGCTGATTTTGGAACCATACACGTCGAAAAGCGCGCAATTTGTTTTAGATTTGCTCTTCAAAAAAACTTCGAAGAGAATGATATCTTTATTGTCATTGAAGTACCAAGTACTCCATATTTGATAAAATCTGTCTCTGGTCATTGTTTTATCAAAAAATTAGTGTTTCTGTTCAAGCATCATTCGTCTTTTCAGTCCTTACGCACTTGTAACTATTTTTTGTAAAAGTTTTATCGGCACTCACTCTCTAGCAATAATATTTGAATATGCGATTACTTTTTTCCCGCATAAAATGTGTTAATTAGAAAATTATATATCAGCATTAAATAATGGCATTAAAGATTAGTAAGCGTTTGCTGTTACATACACATTTTTACATTATTTATTCACTATTAAATATAGTCATCTGTTTTCTAAGTAATAATAAACAACTGTCCGAGAAGATCTTAGAAACGAAATATGAAGACAAAGAATATAGAATTATTGATTAAGTTGCTGGCCTTGAAAGAGCGAGAACAAGGGTAAAACTAGTACACTATATTTACGTATAATTGATTTGCGTGCGTACACAACTATATCATTCTACCGCCGCCATTCAAACCCAATAATTTACAATTAGTTACAAATAATAAATTCACGCTCCTTAACAATGTATATATACTTATATTTGACTAAACGTTATATCTTAAGCATCTTCTCGCCATAGTATCTTCTTCGCTTAACGAGTGTTTCACATTACCAGCAAGAATTATGTTCGTTATACAATAAATTAATTCAATTATTCAACTTAAATGTTCCCGCTTTATTGTTTACTAGTATGATCATATAAAATAGATATTTAAAATATTTTGTTAAGTACAATTTTAAGGCAGTTTAAGAAAATTGATAGTAAAACAACTTGATAGTCGAACATCTACTAGAACTGTATGGTGTTTGAAGTTCAAGTTTAGAATATTTATAATTTTTTTTTTCATTTAGAAACTAATGATAGATTAAATCGGTTTTATTGCAGATAATTTACGTGTATGTATATAAAACATATTTAGACATTGACAATAAATAATGATTATGTATATAAATTAAATGCAGCTGTTTTATTTCCAATAACATATTAAGTATTCCGTTTCTTGCGTCAATCAAAATAATGTATATAAAATATGAATTTTTCAGTAATTGTTTCAACTACTGTATAGATATATGAACGATCTGTTAATATATCTATTTGTTCTTCGAATAATAATAAAGATGGGCCTACTGAAAAAGATAATGGTTGATGATCTGCCGGATAATTATTTTTACCTACAAGTAGTTAAGTTTTGTAAAGTTATTACAATTAGTTAATTATATTTGTTTCAGAAAAAAATGTTTAAAATATTTGGCATTGATTTTGACTCAAAGCAAGAATCTTCGTTGTATCGTCTTTACTCATTCACTTTGTTGGTAGTCTTCGGTATTCCTATGAATATTTTTATGGCTACCGAAATGATAAATAAAAGGTCAGATATAATTACATTTGTAGGTGTTGCAAGTTATTTCGCTTCGACAATGCCTGGTGAGTTATTACTTACTTCGTAATGCAAAATTATTATTTTAAGAATGTAACATAGGTACCATAAAATGTATTATACTATATATAAATAGGCAACGAATTGGGAGAATGATAAATAGTCTACACTTACCACCTTTTGCCCTTAATGAATGTCGCGGAGGAAAAGAAGAAGAGAAAATGTTAAAATCGTTGATACGTAAAACAAATATTCAGGTAATAATTTATATAATTATTTGCAATGTTCTATAAATGTAACTTTTAGAATATTATATATTATTCAACCATTTTGGGTACATTCATCTTTGGTATAATAAACATGCTTTATTACCGATTAAGATACTGGTATGATAGTTCTTTATGGGTGATGCCTTATGCACCTACTATGCCTTGGTTCGATTACTCTTCTTCGCCAATATATGAATATGGCGCACTTTTCCAATGCTTCAGTATGTTAATCTATGCTATTCAGATTGGAAATTCATTTTCTACAATGATTGGTCTTTTGGCTCACATTAGCATACAAATGGATATTTTGAGCAATGTTTTTAGGTAAATATATCTTCATGAATGTTAAATATATTTAAGTTTTTTTCTTATAGTGCTCAATAACGTAACATAATTTATTTACTCCTCTTTATTTATAGGTATCTTAAAATTAGAGCTGAGAAATTGCAAAAATTGGACATTGATAAGAGCAAACCGTTTGAGCATTACGTGGACATCCTTTTCCGAGAGAATATAAATCATCATTTGAAAATATTCGAGTTAGCCGATGAGATAGAGAAATTTTACAGTGTTATTATTCTTATTTTAATGATGTCCTTTATTATAATTCTGTGTTTCGTTCTCTACTGCTGTCTTGTGGTATTATTAACTCTTAATATGTACGAGCTAATTTCTCAGTTTGTTCTTTTGTAGTTTCCCATTTTTAGCATATTTTTCATGCAGAACGCCACCTACAGCTGCATTATCTTATGTCACATAGCTATGTATTGTTATTGGGGTAATGAGGTGAGTGATGCATCTTTGGGCGTTGCGCAAGCTGCAGCAGAAGTCGATTGGGTCGATCTCCCGGGAAATATCTCTAAATCTTTAATCATGGTCATTCTCCGTGCCCAAAAACCTCTACATATAACTGCTGGGAAGTTATTTCCTCTCAGTATGACCACATTCATGAGTGTAAATATTAGTTTCGTACTTTCATGGAAAGTCCATTTATTAATTAAATTGTTTTTCAGATTATGAGAAGAACTTTTTCGTTTTTAATGTTGTTAAAACAATCTCAAGAATTATCTAATTGATAATTTAAAATATATAAATACTAAATGAATATGTAGTTGATTGTCAAATTTATTCCTTATCAATTGAATAATTTTCTCCAAAGGAATACTCAATGATATTTAAGATCAATAGATATTTGAAGAGCCAGTTATATATGTAATAATAAATAGTTGTAGTATTGATGTAGGGAGATGAATATTATCGTAGATTGTATATTTATTACTTATCAATATTGTACCAGTTATATGTAGTGCTAATAGATATTTGAAGCGTTAGTTTTACTTCTTTTTCTTGTAAATATGATTTTTTTGTCTAGTTCTATCACAGTTCTTTCTTTTTTGACCTTTGGTTCAGTTTTAACATAAAATCAAGAAAATTAATTTAATTAATTCATTAATTTATTTATTTCCATGAAATTTAAATTCAAAGAGTCCAAATTTAAATATCCTACATTAACTCATTTCCAATTCCGAATGTCTCTAAATTGAAACTCTCCCCATTCTTAGTACATAACACTATTATTTTTTGCTTTATCTGTTATGACTAGTGTTCTGTTATATAATCAAATTTATCTTCCCTGCCGGAACAACTTAGATAACAGAATATAGAAATAGAACAATAATAAATAACATTGAAAACCGACAAAAAAATAATAATATATATACTAAAAAGAAAAAGGAAATAAATAACACCATTTCATTCACAGACTAACGCGTCATGGTGTGATGGTAGCGATTCCTTGGTGCATATTTTCCTGATTGTGTTCATGCTTTTTCAATGACTATGGCAGTTCTTGAAGCATTCGCATATCAGCATTATATCTCCGGTGGCGTGTATGGGACAGAGTGGTCAGATGTCTGTATTTTACGGTATTAAATGTCCCAGTATCTCGAAATGTAGTGAATAATCCTACTTATGTTCCGATTAGTTATTAAACTGGTCTGCTGAACTTAGTGGATTCTAGATGAAAAAATAAGATAGACATGGTTAGTAATTTACTATTGTACAATATTTTTTTATGTATGTACTATTTGAAATAAAATAATTATATTATTAAACCAAAACCTACTTGTTTTTCCATTATTTAATATTATTTCTAAATAGGCCCTTAGAATATAGACATTATAAAGAAAATAAATAAAAACAGAAAATATTGTAATTGCATTTCTGTGTTGGTGAAGCTTGTTAACGATCCTTACAAACATAGTCATTTTGGTCTGAATATTCAGAGTTTGACTAACAACGAGATAAAGAAATTCTAAAGCAGTTTAAAAATTTTAAATAATACATGGAAAAATATTTGGTCTGTGGAAAACAGTATCCTTTTACATGTCGGTAACGAACGTGTTAATAACTTATTTGCGTATTTTAAATATTTTACTTTTATATTTAATTATGAATACAAAATACAATTATTTCCATAATACTATTATATTTAAATAAAATACAGTGTTTTAAAAATGACAGATTCCATATTTACCAATTATTGAATTAATTTTTCAATGAAATATCCGGACGGGAAATTACCCTTTAATAGTTGGTTTCAGTGCTTTTCAACAGATTAATTCAATTTACATGTTTTCTTATGAATACATTTTGGGATGGACTATAGGAACTTTGAGTTTACACAATTTTAATCTACTTAATAATTTATCAATTGTAGTTGCGAGAAATAGGCTAATATTATATTTATTTGTATATCAAGGAAATTTAAACGTTGACAATTTTCAATTATTGTATACAGATTACTGCTAAATGCAGCTGTTGTCTTTCAATTCACATATTAAATATTCTTTTTCTCACGTCAATCAAAATAAAGGATATAAAATAAAAATGTTTAGAGTCACCTTTGACACTGTAAATAGACGATCTCATCTGTCATCTATTCGTTTAGCTACAAAACAAATAATAATAAGGATGGGCTTAAAAGAAAAGATAATGGCCGAAGAACTGCCGGATAATTATTTTTACGTTCACGTAGTTTAACGTTAATATTATAATTTTTATAATTACTGAAATGCTTTGATTTCAGAAAAAAGTGTTCAAATTATTGGGCATTGATTTTGACTCAGAGCATGAATCTTTGCTGTATCGTCTCTACTCATTTTCTCTGTTGGTAGTCATCTTAATTCCTATGAATATTTTAATGGCGGCCGAAATGATAAATAAAAGGTCAGATATAATTATATTTATAGGTATTGCTAGTTATTTCGCTTCGTCAATGCCTGGTGAGTTACTGTGTACTTTTTAATGCAACTTTATTATTTCAAAAATGTAACATAGGTACCATAAAATGCATTATACTATATATAAATAGGAAACGAGTTGGTAGAATGATAAACAGCCTACACTTTGCACCATTTGCACTGAATAAATGTCGCGGAGGAAAAAAAGAAGAGAATATTTTAAAGTCGTTAGTTCGCAAAACGAATATTCAGGTAAGAATTTACGTAATAATTGTTAATGTTATACTAACCAAACTTTTTAGAATATTATATATATTTCAACTACTTTGGGTACTTTGCTCTTTGGTATTATAAACACGCTTTATTACCGATTAAGATACTGGTATGATAGTTCTTTATGGGTGATGCCTTATGCACCTACTATGCCTTGGTTCGATTACTCTTCTTCGCCAATATATGAATATGGCGCACTTTTCCAATGCTTCAGTATGTTAATCTATGCTATTCAGATTGGAAATTCATTTTCTATATTTATTGGACTTTTGGCTCACATTAGCATCCAAATGGTTATTTTAAGCAATGCTTTTAGGTAAATCTATCTTTATAAATGTTAAATATATTATTTCATTCAGTACTCAATCATTGTGACATAATTTATTTATTTTTAAGGAATCTCAAAATTAGAGCTGAGAACTTACAAAAACTTGACGATGATAAGAGCAAACCGTTTGAGCATTACGTGAACATCATTTTTCGAGAGAACATAAATCACCATTTGCAAATATTCGAGTTGGCCAATGAAATGGAGAAATTGTACAGTGTTATCATTCTTATCCTAATGTTTTCTTGTACAGTGATTATGTGTTTTGTTCTCTATTGCTGCCTTGTGGTATTATAAACTCTAATATATACGACTAATCTTCTCAGTTCGTTCGTTTCTAGTTTCCTGTTTTTAGCATGTTTTTCTTGCAAAATGCCACTTTCAGCTGCATTATCTTTTGTCACATTGCAATGTATTGCTATTGGGGTAATGAAGTGAGTGAGACTTCCTTGGGCGTGGCGCAGGCTGCAGCAGAAGTTGATTGGGTCGACCTCCCGGGACATATCCCAAAATCTTTAATCATGGTTATTATCCGTGCACAAAAACCTCTGCGCATAACTGCTGGGAAGTTCTTTCCTCTCAATATGGCCACATTCATGAGTGTAAGTATTATTTTAGTAACTAAATTTGAAATTTGTAGAATAATTCATGGAAAGTCCATATATTAATTTAATTTATTTTCAGATTATGAGAGGAACTTTTTCATTTTTAATGTTCTTTAAAGAATCTCAGGAATTATCTAATTGAAGAAAATTTATAATATATTCATTTAAAATGTATTATTTAGTTGTAGTATTAGGAGTAACATCACCATTATCAGAGATGGTAATTTTATTCGTTGCCAATAGAATAGATAATTGAAGAGTTGTATATTAAAAAATATTTAGTTGTAGTATATTAGTAGTGAGATTAACATAATCGTGAATTATAAATGTATACCTTATTAATAAATACTTTTACCTACACATTAAATCAGCTGTACTCAATGATAGTATATATTAGAATCTAGATTTATTATTATGTTATTTTTTTTGGTTCTACTAAAGTTTTCCTTCCCGAGATTTTTATATATTGTTTAAATTTAAATTAAAATCATAATTGCATGTGAGGGAAGATAAAAAAAACTGCTGAAAAAATACAGAAGTTTTATCTTATTTCTAAAAAACAAACAAAAATATATATAAAAATTTATTACCTGAACGAATAACTTTTACAACTTATGTATGTATATATTAAATATTAATGTTCTTGTTTTTTGTTTGTAATTATTTTGTTCTCCTCGTCCCCTTCGTTTCTCTTTATCTTCTATACCCCTTTTCAAGTACGCGATTTGAACTTAATGCGAATATTTATATTTCCTCTTGTTCACTTTCGGCTTCTGTTGCTTCTTAGCCCATTTCTCTTGCTTATCGTGGCTCTTCTTCTTAGTCTTCAGTAGCTTGTGAGCCTTGTGGTCATCGACCTTGTGGACGGCGGCCTTCTTCGATGACTTTCCGTGTTTCTCCAAACTTTTCAACATGAGCTTATGCTTCTTCTCGATCTTATCGACTTTGTGAACGTCGTGCTTCGCATTTTTGCTGCTGAAAGTCTTGAATTCGCCGGATTTCTTGCCATGGCTGTAGAAGCTGTCGTGCTTCTTGTGCTCGTTCTTGTGGTATTTCTCATGGAAACCCTAAAAAAAACAATATTATGAAATACTGGATTCTTAATGTTTAAATTCTTACTTTTGTGAATCCCGTTTTCTTATGTTTGCCACCTTCGATTGATTTGGCTGAATTCTTGTGTTCTACTCCGGCTTTCTTGTGGGTTTGATGGGCCACCTCGGTGTTCGAAACCGTTTTATGACCACCTTTTTCTTCAGTGTCTACAGTATGTCCAATTGCTGTATGTTCTCCCTTGTGCGAGGATTCTAGCTGGTGTTTAGCATCTTTCGCTGATTTCTTACTGTGCTTTGTATCATCATCATGTTTGTGGTTGGCAGTTTTGGAATGTGCATTGACTACGGCAGCTGAAACATGCTTGGCGATGTGGTGATGAGGATTTGGCGTCGTCGTAGCATCCACAAACGCAAAAATTAAAGCAGCAAACTGTAACAAAGAAAACAATAAGAAATCACTATATAAAACAAACAAAATCGCATATCATTATATTCATTACTGCTTAGAGCTTTTGTGCCCTTGCATTGCGAAAGTCGCATAATGTGAAAGCGATTTTCTTCTTTTTACATTTCACTCTGTCGTCTTTTCCGCTTTTCGAGAAATATGCATAGAGGTATTTTGCGATTACTCCAACAACCGTGACAAAATTTCACGGTTTGTTTGCATTTTTAATAACAAGCAGTAAAATGTTATCATTCAAAACGTACAATAATTGTTATGTAACTCGTCGCTATTTCTTGAACAGTTAATCGAGTGCTGTACGAAACTTTCATGGAATCAGTCTTGATATTTGTTCACAGCATTTGCTAATTTCATACGCAATCTTGAAACGTGTCAGACAATACTAATTTGTAAATATATCATTTTGCAGCTTCATATAACATTATGTGAAAAGCTTTTAGTTTCTAAAAGACAAACATTTTTCTAAATCAACAACAATATCTATGTTATAAATTTATAATAATAATTGGAAAAAGTGGAAATATAAGTGATTTTTTAATATATTAAATATGCTTTGACACAGCAATAATATGTAACTTTTTTGAATAATCTAAAATATATACTTTTTTATTCGGTATACAAATAAGTATATAATAATCATTTGAAGTAACGTCTGTAACAAGCGTATTTCTAAAATTATATAAAATATTGAAAATTATATATAATCGGGTTAAACTGCTATTTCTGTCTCATATTGAAAAATTATAAAAAGTATCCAATAAACTATTATAATTATATCCATCTATCTTATTATGTCTTTACTTAATCAAAATGTATTAATAACCAATGTAAATCTTCACCACATGCTTATATAACAAATTATTAATAATATTTGTTATTCTTTGTTTAAAAAAGTCATAGTTTATATAAAAAATATACGTTTCTTGTAATTACTAATATAATTGATTGAAATTTGTTTTTGTAAAGTTATTGTTAATAGTTATAATTCTAATATAACAAAACTAGTGACAAACATAAAATGTATTAAGTTTTATGATGTGATTCTAAAGTAACTGAATAGAATTGTATGAGTCGTGATGAGAAAGTAACCAAATATGTAAAATTCCTTAAAATGTCTTACTAACATCTGTACCTAAGACTATGAACTTTATTTCATTCCACCAGATCTAAATAAAATTTACGTGGAATATAAAGATTCAATTACGACCCACACCGCGAGACACAACATAAATTATACTGTTGTTAGATTTTGTGTAGACGTTTCGTGGGAAATCGCGATTGGATTCAGCAGCAAAAAAAAGAAAAATTTCCAAGAACCAAGTAGAAACAAAATCGGATAAAGTTTTCTTCACCTGTGGATTAATTTCGATCCGAAACCATTGCACCGTTTCCCGTGAATAAATCCGACAGGTAGAGAGAACGACGCATGCAAGCTCACCTACCTGCCTGTATCTTAGATTATAATGAGCCTATCCGAAAGATTTAGCTTCAGGAATTTGTACCTGGAAATCGTTTATACATGTATAATAGACTTCGCTGGACCATAATACCTCGAGGGAAAGAAATGAACGAAAAGAAAAAAGAAACAAAAACTGTATCCTCCAATTTCATCAGTTTATTTCATTCGGGGAAACCGCATTCAATTTTTTTTATGTGCTCTTGTTATGTAATAAACAGTTGGATATTTTTTTATTATTTTTTTTTTTCGATCGCTCTTACATTTTTTTATATACAGTTCTGATTTATAGGCTCGCATCGATAATGAGATATATTTATAGATTGATCCGAGAGTTATAAATAAATTTCGTCAGGAAAATGATTTGTAGGCTTTTGTGTACGTAGGCTTACGTTACAAATCAATTACAGTTTACGTTATTTTTAAAATAGATTTTTGCCCAACCAATTTTCCATGCACACGAAACATGACTCATCTCCGACAACGGTGAATCCCAGGATAACCAAACGAATAATAAATAGAGAATAAATCATAGCACCTCTGATTTGTTTGAAGTACTATAAGAGTTAACTTAAATTTATTTACATATAGCTCAGTTATCATTATCATAAGGCTCGCACGATTCCTTGAATTTGACGAATCGATTATTCATATTCAGTTTCAATGATAAGTGGTAGTGAATCGCATTCTTTTCGAGTTATCATTTCCGTTCAGTGCATTTAGGCGTGGAAAATGATCGAGTATTATGAATTTGCATGCTCGCTTTTATTGACGTTCTCTTCGGTTTCCACGTACCTATGCCGTAAATGTGTATGTGTTGGCCGCTGTGGGTCTTTCGTTATGCAAACCGAAAAGGAATGTTACGTAATGAGCCGTTGCAGCAGCAGGCCTTTACGCGAAAAACCTGCAGTACCATTACACACACTTATAGGAGGCCAGGACTAACATTTCACTTGACACAAAACACAGTTCTTGCAGTAATATTAAACCAATTGCCTTCTACAATCTAAACTTTAATATACTTTTTACATTTTGTTAGTTAAATATTTTTTTCTTAAATTCAAACATAATACTTGGTGATACACTTTTTATAATATTATGTACATTTTTTATTTTTCTTCTTGATCTCAAATATAACAATTTAAATTATTTATCTATGACAAATGCAATAAAACGTATACAATATGATAGTTGATTTACATTTCAACTATCATTAAGACCAAAAGAAGATCAGATGTTCTTTTTTTGGATAAACTGAGTTGATTCCTTTTGACATTGTAACAATAATGTTGTATTCATATTTTTGTGTGTAACCAATAAATAATTTCTTGTTATTGTTGTCAAAAGTCTTAAACGTAAAATACAAATTGTACATTTTTATTTACATTTTAATTATAGTTGTTTTTAGTAATCAAATGTTTTCGCTATTTTTTATTAACTGCTTTATAATATAAATTTGCAATAATTACAAAATTTTCTGCTTCGAAATTATTGAAATATCTTTGATAATTTTATAATATATTAATGAATTTTCTTAATCTCTCAAATTATATTATATTTTTTTACAGTACACTTTATTTCTCGTCTCTTAAACACGTTTAAAGCCTTTGTGTAGAAACTCTTGAACTGCAGCCTTTTGTTTTACGCCGGTCGAAGGGTGCAGAGAGGTATGTACATCCTGCCTCTGTAGAGATTAGAGAGAAACCGACGTAAATTCAAACCGTACGCTACAAAATGTGGTCTTTAATTCAGAAAACGCGGTTATAATAAGAAAACGACGTGGGTCGAAAACCTGTTCGTAAAGTAGTTCAAATTATAGTTCGTGCATTGTGATTTCTAAGTTTTTGACACTCTAAATCCCCATAATTATTGCTTGCAGGGAGATACAAAAGTACATGATGAAGTAAGAATTACGTGCATACAAATTTGTTGGAAGATGTTAAGAAGACGAAACAAAATATAGTAATCTAATTCTTAATTAAATCAAATTTACCAAGGTTTATTAAGAAACTAAAAATAGTATATTGTATTCTCATAATAATGGGCTAAAATTTCTCTTGAATTAGATTTAATAAAATAACCCACTTTCTAATGTCGAATTCTGTCTATCTTATTTCTAGATCTTATACGTTTCATATTAAGCATATTGAATTATAAGAAAATATAACAATTAAAATTTATCAGTTATAATTAATTAAATTTATAATCACTTTAGCAAAAAACTTAAGAATATGTATTAAGTAAGCTAATAAAGCTTACTATGATTGCTGTTATATCTCTATTACATCACTGTATAGTTATATAGTAGTAACTGTATTTATTATATGTTAATGACCCGAGTTAACTTCTTGATCAATTATAATACTAATACATTTTTGTAAATAATAAAGAAAAAATATTTTTTAAATCGTAATTAATCAAACAGACAAAATCCAATAATAGGACGAAACAAATAAATATATAATAAATGAATGGGCATTTAAAAATATCACAAATTAACAAAATACATTGTGTATAAAAAAATGGTTTTGTAGTGTGAAATTAAAGTTTTTATTTTAAAAATTTTCTACTTAGTCAAATGACCTTTTGCTATCTTTCTGGGAAATTCATGATTCCGCTTTCATGGAAGTTCAATATAATACAATTGTAATTGATAATAATTTATATATTTTTACTGCTAAGGTAATTTTTTTTAAATTATTTAAAAAAAATTCTTTACGATAATTGATATATTTAGAATTAAAACAGAATTGAAAATAGCCAATCAATAAATTTTAGTGAATCACCAAATACATTTTAACTGTAAACGGTTTTTAAACATATATTAGATGATTAACCAAATATTTAGGAAAAACAGAAATAATAATATCACTGTATAGTAAATAAAGTAGATGAATATTTCAAACTGTTAACACCTTCTGCAAAATAAGCCTTTGTATTCTACGTGTATAAACAAGCAACGTTTGTTTGTGCAAATTGAGTCTATGACACGTAATCGAGTCAGCTGTTATGAATGCCGAGACGATAAATTCAAATCGCATACAGTTGGAGATGCTCCGATTCAACAATCGACGATTATAAAAGCATGTTTGTTTAAGAAATCGGATCACGTCGCGTTCGTTGCATAACGTTTCATCCCGCATGCTAAACAATTAACCAAAAACCGAAATCCACTTCCGGCAGAGAAGAAGCCCTGACGTAATACGTGAACCGATGATACCATATCGAAGAGCTATCGAATAACGATCATTTCAGCGGCATTCGGGAATCGTTTATTACGCAAACATCCCGTTCTCGTTTTTCCAAAGAACTACTACTATCCACTAAAACTGTTTTTACGCTTTGGTAGCGGCAGAGCACGCATGTCGCTGAAGGAAGAACATGTGTAATTGACGACTTTACTGTTAGAATTATTACAAAAGTCGTGCTGCATAAAATTACCCGACCATTTCATCCGACATCAATGGAAATGGAAGCGCTAATTAGATCACAGTTTCATACGTCAAAAACC